CCCCAAAAACCCCAAAACCCCAAAACCCCAAAACCCCAAAACCCCTTTTATGAAATTAAATGTGGAAAAACTAAAATGATAAATTTAGAGCTTACTGGCTCTCTTTGCCTAATTCGTTCAAGACTTATCACACAAATTTAGTTACATCCAAGGAGTGTTTCAGGATAAGAAAATATGGATAAAAGTAGTTATGCAGACTTATAGAATAAGCTAAATTAACTGTCCACATTTTGACAAGTTTTGTGCAAAATTTAGAGCAATTACGAATCAACTTATGGCATCTTTACTCATTACTAGCCATGGTTTCTTGTGTCTCTTGCTTTTCGAGAGTAGCTAACATTTTGAGATCATCTTTAGGCAATTCGTAATCTTTATTAGCCATATTGTAAGTTGAGTATGCCTCTTCGTCAGTGACTTCACGGATGAACTTGATGAAGGAAGGTCTTTCTACATTCTCAACATCATTTTCTGTCTCGATCTTGAGAAGGGAAGGCCTGCCTTCAATATTCTCGAATGTATCAATTACAAAGAACTGGTTCTTGTAGAGGAAAGTCATTCTTGATTTTTCAAGCTCGATCTTGGAGTCATCTTGCTTCTCCTGAATCATTTGGATGAAGTCACGGGAAGATATCTGCTTCTTTCTAGTTGTCCACTGGTCATTTTTAAATACTTTGGTCTCAAGAGTGTAGTTGAATGATCTCTTATCGCCTTTTTGGATAATCTTTACTTCCATGCTAGGTGAGGAGAGCAAGAAGAACTCTTTTACTGTAAAATGCTCGACTGAGAGTCCAGGCTCGCTGATTTCATATGTCTGGACTAGGTATTTACAGTTAAAAATGGTTGCTTGAGGGATACCAAGAAGGTTCAGTACAACTCTTTCAACCTTCTCAATCTTTTCTTCAAAGGAATTGACTTTGTTGTCAATCAAGTAGAATTGGGAGTGGCCAGACCAGTTTTTACGAATCTTATTATCGACATTTTTGGCAGGCTCAATCTCTTCGTATCTAGCTTCATTAGTGCCAAGGTCATAGTGTTCGACTGCTCCGTCAGCTGCTGTGACCATATGAATGACTGCATCGTATCTTGAGTCTCTGAGATGCACTTCATTCCATGACATCTCATCCAGGATGCTTTGCCATACTTGTTCGGAAACATAAGCTTTACCGTCTATCAATCCTCTATCTCAGAGAATGACAACAGGCTTGTCTGAAGTGGAGGATGCATACTCAACTATGAGATCTTCGATGAAGATTTGGTATCTCATAAGACAGCTCTGGAACTGGATCTCGTTGAGCCTTGTAAAGTTCGTGTTGTCAATCAAGAATCCTGCCTTCATGAGAGTCGTAGCTGCTTCTGGGGCAATGAATACTCTGTGACCTATGCTTGCTAAGGAAGAAAAGAGTGAAGACATAGCAGTAGTCTTTCCCGCACAGGGTCCTCCAGTAAAGCACAGCTTAATAATGGGTTCATCATTTTCTGAGTATCTTCTTCTCATGGTTGGCTGGGATACTTTAATGCCTCTGTCTGAGGATTTCTCTCCCATTTTCCCCATTGTTTCCTTAATAGTAAGGTTGATGATTTCCTTGATTTCGTCTTGTACAATGACATCTTTGTTAAATTTCACCTTTTTGCGACTCGCTTTAGACTTCTCAGGCTGAATGCTCTCCTCTTCGGGAGTTCCAGAGGCTTCTGAGGATGAGAACCATTTTCTGAGAACAAAAGTTCCAATCATTCCTGCGGCTAATCCGACCATAAAAGGGAAGGCTGTGCTCTAAATTTTACTGGATTTAAAAATACCTTGTTTTCAGACATGGTAATATTTTAATATTTATCTCAATGGTTGGTGGTTTAAAAGGGGTTTTGGGGTTTTGGGGTTTTGGGGTTTTGGGG